ATTATTTCCAATGTATAAAATCTATACAAGTCTATAAAAATAATTTTCAACATACAATTCATTCACTCTCTTAACCCCATTTGTGATAGTAAGGGAGTATACACAGCCTTAAGAAGAGGAAGTAAGCAAATAGCCTAATAAAAGTGTGCCAAAAGAACCATACATAATTGAAGGCGTAACATTCAACCTTTTCGGCCATCATGTTTTTAGCACACTGCACATGCTGGTTCCATAGTATGCCACCATGTAATGAATGACTTGCTTGCATAAAACTGCCAGAAACTCACTCTGCTAGTGGGGATGCTCTTTAGCTCACTGGTAGGGCAGCGGACTTTCAGTCTGATGGACCAGATTTCAATTCCCAGGGGTATGCAACTAATTTATTCTACCAGCCTGATTAATTTATCAGGTTTCTCATGTGAGATGTAAGAGGTAGATATGGGTGCATAAGTCGTGAGATTTGTGAAAGTGTGAGGGAAAAAATATGAGCGTGGTGGAGGATCGTACCCGTGCCACAACCACACTGCTTCCTTATACATGAGCAGAGAGCTATCTGACCGGTCACTACAATCCATCAATCCCGGACTAGCTTTAGACTGCTTTGATTGATGAGGCAGTTATTCATATTAGTAGGGCACTGATTTTCTCACAAGGTTAGCAAGCAAAAGAAAATAACAATTAAATATAGCCTTCTGGAACTCCTACACTAAGTAGGAATAGAACTTGGAGGGTTTCCAGACAGTGCAATTACTATGCTTCCTCTCAGGGTTAACAGAATGTAAATTACTCATCTGCAATGAAGTTGTACACTGGAGGGAAGTGGTTAGCAAACAGAAAGTAACTATGAAGGTAAATACAAACCTGGAGAGAAATGATTTCCTCACAGGGTTAGCAAACAGAAAGTAACTTTTCAGAGGTGCCTCCTTAACAGTACTCACGGTACATATTTCTTGGAATACATATAACAAAAGGCAAAGGTGGGAACATGTTACAAAAGGCAAAAGTGAAAAAATTATAACTGCTAGTTGTAGAGCTTTGGTTACTTGCAGTAATTGCAACTAACCAAAACTTCAGTTATAAAATTTTTGCATGTTGTGCAAACAAAAAGTTTCATGTCCTTCATCACATTTTCACACTCAATGTGATAACAATTGTTGCACAACATGCACTGTATCAAAAAACTATCCACCAACTTAGGCTTCCTACAATGACAATAAATACTGATTTCATAATACCGGTATGTGTTTTTCTTAAGGGTCATGGTTGGTGATTTAACAGGAAACTGTTTCATAATGCCGTCCCTGAAGCATTTTGCCAGGTGGCTTCTCATATGTTCCTGGGCAAAATTTTGTGTCTCAGGAGGCAGACCAAAACAAAGACTAGTGGCACAGGCAATTGCAAACAAACCACAGTCAGAATATCCTTTCTGCTGTTTGATGTTTGCATACTCTACTCTAATTTTTGGACTTTTACAATTTAACAAGGCAGCCACCTGGCAATTAAACTCCTCAGAATTTTGCAGTCCACTGCTACTCAAACTGTCAAAAACTCTGACAGTGTTATTATTACACCCAATGTTACTGAGTGTTAGCCAGTGGTTTTTGTGCACGCTCAAGATCTGTACAAAATGGTTCACAGGAGCCTGAACCTGCACACAGTTTTTGCAGTAAAAAATAACAGTGGACTGAAATCCTGAGATAAAAGGGAAGCTGCTACCTAATAAATGCTGGGCATGATCAACATGTGCGTCACTCAACCAATTCCCTGGGCAACCAACTTCACTTGCTGCGACCCATGGATCTTTATGGACAGGTGCTAAGTGGACATCAGGCTGCAGTTTCCCTCGAGCCACCACACATTCCTCTATTTGCCCCGTAGATCTATCCACGACCATGTCATTCCACTCGTCAGGCCTCCTGAGAAAAGAAATATTTTGTTATGCATTGTTCAGTTGTCTTGAACTTGATGCAATATATGAAGACACTCTTTAGTTGGACTAAGGTCTGACTCATGTGGACGATGCAGGAGTCAAGGGTCAAATGCGTGCAGCACAAGTGACAGCTCATCTGTCATTGCAAGTGGGTCTCCATTACCCTCACTAACTTTTCCCCCTTTCAGTGCCTCTCTAGCGAGCTATTATGTTACATCCCATATACAGTGGTCCCTCGGTTAACGAGCGCCTCGGTTAACGAGATTTCGGTTAACGAGTTACCTTCTATAAGATTCTTAACTTCAGTTAACGAGCAATCCCTCGATTAACGAGTTTCTTACGAGCTGACCTCAACATGTTTTTGCTTGCATTTGGCGGTCCACCAGCTGTAGTATTAGTCCGCCAATACAGTAATCGGTTCTGGGGCTTATATTCCTTACCATTTTAGTAAATATCAAGAAGTTTATACTATTCAATAATTTTAAAAGTTTAATATTAAATTTTTTAGTAATTTTAACAATTATTGAACATAATTGAAGGTAAAGAAACTAGTTTATGCACGCCATCCAGCCAGTCAACACACCAAACAGGCGTCAGTCTCTCTGTCTTTTCAGTGGAGGTAACATCTTGCTTGACTCTCTTCAACTAAATGCTTTTTTTCTGTGTTTGCAAGCAAATTATTGGTCATTTTGAAATTCATTTTACATATTGACAATATATAATGCACTGTAGTGTTGATTTAAAGAAAATAATCATGAATTACACCAAGAGTACTAAAATGGCGCCATGGGGTGACTTCTCTTCCACCCCAATGCCTTCTCTTCTTCCTTCTACTCCACCCCCATTCTAATTCCCATCATCATCATCCAGGAGCCTTCTACATACAAACCTCAAAGTAAGTGTACTTTTCTACCTTTTTCGTTGAATTTAGGCAATTTTCGGCGAGCTGGAACCAATTACCCAAAAACACATTGAAACAATGGTTTCGGTTATCGAGTTTTTCGGTTAACGAGCAACCTTCTAGAACGGATTGTGCTCGTTAACCGAGGGACCACTGTAATAACTAATCAACCCAAGCTCATCTTGCCGTACTGTAACTGCCTTTAGTACTACAGTATGTTCAGTTCGAAAGCTTATACAGCAAATGTTTTCATAATTTTTGTAATGCCACCTCAAATTTGTTCAGACTACTAAAGTTAACTTAATTGACAATTGTGAAATATAACCTCCCTCTGCTACTGATCTCCCAGTGTGTAAACCACAATATATAACACTCAATAACAATGTTATTAATATATAACCTCAATTCTTGGTTCTAACATTAATTATAAAAGTTAAAAGATCGTTTTAGAACAATAAGTTAGGCTGTTGTTTACCATGTGGGGCTGCTGGGAGGTGTTGGGTTGGTGGAGAGTTGCACATCCGGGGTGTCATTCAGCAGGTCACTGTTAATATATAAAACATTGAACATAAATCTCATATTATTTTTCAATGTTTATTTTACACTGGAAGTAGTGAGTGTATGTACTAGGTTTACAGGAAATGTGATGATGACATAACTTGGCAAGCTCATTATCTGATGGTAATCATTAATGTAAATATTTGACAATTTAAATGCTTGTGATGATATATCAATGAATGATAAAATGCTTGTCAATGCTATCACTGCTTATATAATACTTAGTGATTCTTCAATAAAGTTTTTTAACTTGAGAATAACATTTTCCATAGTAACGTGTAACTGACAGCTTACCAGGGACTGACGGGTCGGCTTTGTAAAGGTGTCTCATGATCTGAGATCAAGGTATCACTTTTCATCAGACTGAAAAGGAAATTGCATCAGGTAAAACACACTTTGCAAACTATATAATAACTATTAGCAATAAGACTAACAGACCACAAGTGGGGGATAAAATGTAAAGCCATGCAAATTTTTGTCTCAGATCAAACCCCTTAGGTGTTCTCAAATTATGAAAATGAAACATTACATTTTTTTAAATACTAAAAAATAAAAATAGATACCTTGCTTTATTAAGGAAACGACTCTGCAATGGGCGAAGATGGCGATATGGCACCCGAGCCTTGAGCTTCTTGCTGTCCTTCACCAGTTCCAGTGCCACACGCTGGTATGAGTCAATGTCAAGAACTCTGTGGAGTGAAAAATGAACCTTATTATTATTTTGTTTGTTTTACTTAACTCAACAAATGCAATCCAGGGTGTGTTAGAGCACGCACTTATATGGACCACTCCACTTTGGTTCCATCTTCCCGCCTTTCCGTGACTCATTGCGCAAGTTTCTTCTGAGTACCAACATGCCGACGTTGATGTTATACATTTTTACAGCCTTGATCTTTCTGTTTCTGTACTGAACCTTCTGCTTTTCTTGTGCTGCTTCAACATTCTTGCTACTCTGCATGAAAGAAAAGAAAAAAAATCAGAAAAAAGGCAACATAAATAAAAACCAACAAAAACAACATCTTATCTATTACATATCAACATAAACTTACACTACATTACTCAAGTCCTTGTCAGCTGGGGTTGATATTTTCACAATATGGTGGTTGGGTGGTGGCAGATCCCTAACACCACTCCAAATGCCACTCCCAGAAGGAAATTGGGTTACAGTAGTGAATGAATGAATTACTATAGTATATGGTTGATGTTGCCAAGATTTGTCTGGGAAATGAATTGAATTGAATTGAAACAGTTTATTTAGCCAGAAAAACACAGATACAGAGTGGATAATAATGTATTAACATGGCTGAGCCAGTTGAGAACCTGAGCTCTCTTTGAGGCACCTGATATATACTATACATTTATCTCAAAGAAGTATTATGTAACATTTAGTATCATCTGGAATAGTACAATAGCATGGTAGTAATAAGTACATCTCATAATGTTACCACGGTTATCACTTCAATATTTATTTATTTTATTATTTATTATTTTTATTTTTTATTTTATTTTTATTTATTTATACATACATATACAGTGAACCCTCACTTTACGCGGTTAATTCAACCCACAGGGTACCGCGGAAAGTGAGAAACGCGTAAAGTGAACAACATAACATATGGGGTTAATTGAAATAGAGACCGGGCCGACCCCCAAACTCCACTTTTTCAGACACAATACGTACGTTGTAGTAAAAATAACTTCTTAATTTTATGATGGTATGCACACACAATTAATAATTAAGAGAAATATCAATAATATTAGGTTTTTAACACTTACATTAGTAGAAAAGATGGCTGGGGATGGGGGGTTGGTTCCGAGGCAGAGGGCAGATTATTGGCCCTCACCTGTATCACTTGTATCAATTGTATCACTATCCACCACAGAGGCTTGCAGGGCCTCTTTGTCAAACCCCTCAAAGTCCATATAAGTCCATATCCTCACTATAATTATCACTATCACTGACTTGGGCCGGCTGTGGTGGGTGGCGGGTGAAGAACTTGGTAATGTTTTGATGACTGGGCGACCTTGTGCGCACCCTGCTCGCGCCGCTTACACAACATGGTGGATGGCAGGAGAGGGCGGGAGAAATGGCGGGAGGTTTGGATCCAAAAATGGCGCGGCTCGCCAGCCGCTCTCTGCGTAAAGGGGTACACGCACCGCGGAATGTGAGAATTCCGGTTTCGGCAGGGTACCACGTAAACGTGGAAATGCGGAATGTGGGACCGCGTAAAGCGAGGGTTGACTGTACATATATACACACAAATATATATATATACATATATATATACATACCGTATATCGCGGCCTATAAGGCGTCGGGGTGCATAAGACGGCCCCCAAATTTCCATTTAAAAAGTAGCTTTTGAGCTCTATTTGCTGTATAAGACCAGTACCCCAAATGTGACACTTACCCACTGACTCAGTAGTCCTTTACCAACCATCATTGGTTTTTTAAAATAAGGCCAATTCACTTCAAGTAATGTCATCAAATATTACCCGCTGGTGTAGTGTAAACACTAGTGACGTCACTGAAGCGTCTGCTATTTACCGGTAACTGGAACTAATGTCGGTGTCGAGTAAAATTTTTCCATTTACTTGAAATGGATTTACCGATTTATTTGTTTATTTATTTATTTATAATGTACTGTAACATATTAAACACACTGCAAGTATTTTCTTTCATTTATACGCTTGCTTCGCACGAGACGATCGGTGGTGGGAGTGTTCCCTCGTCTCGGTGGTGTGGCTGTGTTCCGACTATTTATACAACAGGTGGTTCAACAGCAACCACCGTATTCTAATTGTGGTGTTTCATTAGGATTTGAGTGAAAAAGGTTACCGGTATGTACTTACTACATACATTTATTACACAAACATATATATATATATATATATATATATATATATATATATATATATATATATATATATATATATATATATATATATATATATATATATATATATATATATATATATATATATATATATATATATATATATATATATATATATATATACAATGACCCTACGTTTAGCAAACACCTGCGGTTAGCATTAATTTAGATTGAACTGCCTTCCGAGGATCTTCAATTAGTTTAACGAAAAAATTTAACAACAAACTACGAACAAACCTCAACATGTTTCAACACTGACCGGGCAGCAACAGCTTTAATCAGTCCGCCATTAATCGGTTCTGGGCTTAAATTCCTTACTATTTTTAAATATCAAAAAAAATTTCTAAATTCAACAAAGTAGTGAAAAGTTCACTTACTTTGAGGTGTGTATCATGAAGGCTCCTGGATGATGATAGCAGTGGGTTTAGAATGGGGGTGGAGGAAAGGAAAAAGAAGACGCGTGGGGTGGAGGAGAAGTCAGCCCATGGCGCCATTTCCTTATAAAATTTTAGCTCTTGGTGTAATTCAAGATTATTTTTCTTTCAATCAACACTGCACTGCATTATATATTGTCAATATGTAAAATATATTTCAAACTGACCAATAATTTGTGGAAACACAAGCGTTTAGTTAGAATAAGCAAGATGTTACCTCCAGTGAAACAGAGAGACTAACTCTGTTTTGCTGTGTGTTAGAGAGCTGGACTGAGCATTAAACTAAGATCACTTACCTTCAGTTATGTTCAATAAATTGTTCAAAATGATGACTAAAGAATTGAATAAGCTTTTAAAATTATTGAATAGTATAAACCTTGATATTTACTAAAATAGTAAAGGAATTTAAGCCTAGAACCGATTAATGTATTGGGACTAATACTACAGCTGGTTATACGGTCAGTGCAAGCGTATCGTTGGTATTAAAACAGAACTTTAGATTAACGATTTTTTTAAGTTAACGAATTTTTTACGTTAACCAAATTTTTTAGTTAACTGAATTGAAGATCATATAGGCAGTTAACGAAAAAAATTTGGTTAACGAAAAAATTCCGGTTAACGAAAAAAAATCGGACAGAAGTTCTTACGAATAACCTCAACATGTTTTCCTTGCGCGGCCAGACAACCAGCTGTAGTATTAGTCCGCCAATACATTAATCGGTTCTGGGAAGCAAATTCCTTATTTTAGTATATCAAAAGTTATACTATTCAATAATTTTAAAGTTTAATATTCAATTTTTAGTCATTTTAACAATTGAACGCATAACTGAAAGAAGGTAAATGACTAGTTTAATGCTCGGCATCAGCCTCTTAACACAGCAAACAGGAGTTAGTCTCTCTCTTTTCACTGGAAGTAACATCTTGCTTGAGACTCTCTTCAACTAAGCCTTTCTGTGTTTCCAAAGCAAATTATTGGTCAGTTTGAAATATATTTTACATATTGACAATATATAATGCAGTGCAGTGTTGATTTAAAGAAAATAATCTTGAATTACACCAAAGAAACTAAAATTTTATGGAGTGAAATGGCGCCATGGGCTGACTTCTCCTCCACCCCAATACTTCTCTTTTCCTTCTCCTCCACCCCATTCTAAATCCATCATCATCATCCAGGAGCCTTCTACATACACACACTCAAAGTAAGTGAACTTTCTACC